TTTTGCTAGCAAGAAATTATCTCCTGCAGAAAAGAATTATTCTCAGTTAGATAAAGAAGCCTTAGCTTTGGTATATGCTGTAAAAAAACTGAGATATTTTCTGCTGGGGAGGAAATTTTTTGCTAGAACAGACCATAAACCCCTGCTAGGATTGTTTGGCAGAGGTAAACAGATTCCAGTTAATGCCAATGCTATAATTCAAAGATGGCATTACTACTCTCGCAGTTTGAGTATGATTTAGAGTTTAAGCCAGGCAAGGATAATGTAGTAGCTGATGCATTAAGTAGATTGCCTGTGACAGAAGAATGTTTCCCAGAAGTAACAGACCAGGACTCCCAGTTGAGAAAATCTGGAAGAATCATACGACCGCCTGATAGACTTAACCTGTAGGGATAGTTTATTTAAAAGGGGAGGAACGTTGGGATTGAGTACTACAGATGTTGGAAGTAGCATGTTTGGAGCAGATGCTCTTTTGTTTATGATCTTGTTAATAATATTTCATGTACCTGATAATTGTTTTGTTGTTGTTGTTATTGGCTGAGAATAAAACCATGTGGACGAAGATTGTTTCTATTCAGCCTCAACCATAACAGATGGATTCCTTCCTTTTCTTGACACACTAACAATGAAAGATGGTGACAATTTGAAAGGCTATAATAAGCCTACATACAAAAAAAACATTGTTAAACCATTTTATCACCAAGATAAAAATGGTGATTTATGGCATTTATGATTAAGCCAGCAGTGTTAAGCCTCCGAAGCAATTTATTATTAAATTATTTATTTATATACATGGAAGTGTGATGAGTTGAGAAAGTGTAGATTTTGGTGATTATATGGTACATTCTTACAAAGCCACTAGCACACACAACTAAAAGGTCTCATTCTCCAAGCAGGACAGAGTCAATAACATCATAAGATTTATCACCTACAATAAGGCAAATGTAGGGATTGTACACAACATCCACAATAACCTCATTAGATGCAGAACAAACATGAACAGGATCACCACAGCAGGGGATTATGCTATAACATGACATGTTTAGTTATGACAAACTGTGTAAATGAAATTCAAAGAACTTGGATGTGAAGACTAATGAACCCAAGTATGCCTGCCATGCAGATAACACTAACAATGCTTACATCACATACAGCAAACAGCTACACCTAACGACCTTCAAGGATGTTAAGTGCCTCATCAAGTAAGAAAATTTAAGGAAACAGTGCATAAAATCTGCAATGATCAAACACTACATCAACTAAATGAATCACTAACAACTTCAGCATTGCTACCCCCATTTGCTTGCACAATAAGATGAATAAAGTTGAACCTAAACATAAAAATTAAATGATCTGCAGTTGTGTTAAGAGGTAACAAAATAGAATAAGGAATTAAAATGCCATGGAAACATATTGATTGGATAGTAGTAAATAGCAAGATCAAACCATGCACAATGCCATGGTTTGACCAAATTCAACAAATGACACTACAGTAGCTGTAAAAACAGCAAGTTTGAGGGTAGGAGTAGGAAAGGATAATTTAGATGAACAGATGATGGCGAGTGTGAAGAAGCAGATTTAATGTGAATGAATAGCACAAGAAAGTGAAAACTGGAAAACAATAGTTTTAAGGTGATGTTAGCTTAATCCATACAAGCAGGAAAATAAAAAAAATAAATAAAAAAGTTTCAATATGTCAGTTTAAAAAACAAAGCAAATTAGCCAAACAGTTTAAACAAATTATACCGTGCTATACCCTAGTGTGATACTGTAATGCCAACAACAATTTTCAATATCCACTAGGCAACATAATTTTAACAAATAAAATAAGAGAGACTGATTAACTGATCTTTTGAAGTTGAAGTTACACTGTTACTTGAAATACAATGTCCAAGTAGTTACAGATGAAGTTGCTTGTACATCGCTTGATCTTTTTAAATACTGTACCATATTTTCTGGCAGATAGGATGCATGTTTTTAGCCACCACCAACCAAACATATACAGTATGTACAGTATATATTTACATGCACAGAATCATGTTTTTTCCCTTACAAAACTAATTGAAAATCACTTTCAATGTATGACAAAACATAATAAAATTCCACTTGATATTTTTGTAAATTTGGTCTGAAACTAGCATATATTGCAATGCTATTAGTGCCATAGTGGTTTAAAGTGGTTTCCACAATCAAAATTATCTCTTTGTATGGACCCTGCAACCATCTGGTATGCCAAGAAATGTTTGGGATTTAGGTGATTTGTTAAACAGTAAAGCAATGAGATGACAGTGAGAAGATAATGAGCCGTTTGTTTCCATATAGTTGGTTGTTTTTGTTAGAAATTAGTATATAGTACAAGAAAATATTATGGGAGATGTCAAGCAATAGGTAAAGATGAACTGTCAAATTGTCTGAGGGCTAGGATGGGCTGTGTTATATACCTGAATTTACTTGAGGGCACAAACACTAGTGACCTCAACAAGGACAGGAAGCCAGTGTCTTGTCAAGGTCCCCCCATTTACTCTGATGATTTTTTCCCAGTTGGATTTTAACATTTAAGTTTTGATATTTACGGCTTTGGCAAACAGGTGGTTCCATGGGGGTTATAGTCCTGTGGGTGAGATTTATAACATGGGTGTGGGTGAGATGTTAAAAAGCAACCCTGTGGGTGGATTTATAACATTATGTGAGGTAGGCTTTGAAATCTGTTGAAATCACACCATCTTGGGTGTGATTATGAATGTAGTGATTATGTGAAACTAATGTGTAGACATGTATATCTGGTCATTAAGGGGAATATCTGTATATGGATAGTTAAGACTGTGTATACAGCATATGGGAAAACATTTGCAAATAAGGCATGAGTAGACAAATGCTGAATGCAAATAAACTGTTGATACTTATACAGTATTTGTATTGGCTTGGTTAATTAGAAAACTATTAGACCAAATGCCAATGAGAGATGAACAACAGGTAACTCATTAATTAAATGAGGAGACAGGCACCCACAGTGGGGGGGACAGGTGCCCACAGTGGGGGGAAGGCACCCAGAGAGGGAGGAGACAGGCACCCACAGTGGGGGGGACAGGTGCCCACAGTGGGGGGAAGGCACCCAGAGAGGGGGAGAGAGAGGTGCCCACAGTTGAGGGGGAGACAGGCACCCACAGTGGGTGGGGAGACAGGCACCCACAGTGGGGGGAGGCACCAACAGTGGGGGGGGGGGGGGGGAGACAGGCACCAACAGTGGGGGGGGGGGGGGGGGGAGACAGGCACCCACAGTGGGGGGGGGAGACAGGCACCCACAGTGGGGGGGGGGAGACAGGCACCCACAGTGGGGGGGGGGAGACAGGCACCCACAGTGGGGGGGGGAGACAGGCACCCACAGTGGGGGGGGGAGACAGGCACCCACAGTGGGGGGGGGAGACAGGCACCCACAGTGGGGGGGGGGAGACAGGCACCCACAGTGGGAGGGGGGAGACAGGCACCCACAGTGGGAGGGGGGAGACAGGCACCCACAGTGGGAGGGGGGAGACAGGCACCCACAGTGGGAGGGGGGAGACAGGCACCCACAGTGGGGGGGGGACAGGCACCCACAGTGGGGGGGGGACAGGCACCCACAGTGGGGGGGGAGACAGGCACCCACAGTGGGGGGGGGGAGACAGGCACCCACAGTGGGGGGGGGAGACAGGCACCCACAGTGGGGGGGGGGACAGGCACCCACAGTGGGGGGGGGAGACAGGCACCCACAGTGGGGGGGGGGAGACAGGCACCCACAGTGGGGGGGGACAGGCACCCACAGTGGGGGGGGGAGACAGGCACCCACAGTGGGGGGGGGGAGACAGGCACCCACAGTGGGGGGGGGAGACAGGCACCCACAGTGGGGGGGGGGGGAGACAGGCACCCACAGTGGGGGGGGGAGACAGGCACCCACAGTGGGGGGGGGAGACAGGCACCCACAATGGGGGGGGGGCAGACAGGCACCCACAATGGGGGGGGGAGACAGGCACCCACAATGGGGGGGGGAGACAGGCACCCACAATGGGGGGGGGAGGCACAGGCACCCACAATGGGGGGGGGGAGACAGGCACCCACAATGGGGGGGGGAGACAGGCACCCACAATGGGGGGGGGAGACAGGCACCCACAATGGGGGGGGGGAGACAGGCACCCACAATGGGGGGGGGAGACAGGCACCCACAATGGGGGGGGAGACAGGCACCCACAATGGGGGGGGGAGACAGGCACCCACAATGGGGGGGGAGACAGGCACCCACAATGGGGGGGGAGACAGGCACCCACAATGGGGGGGGAGACAGGCACCCACAATGGGGGGGGGGAGACAGGCACCCACAATGGGGGGGGGAGACAGGCACCCACAGTGGGGGGGGGAGACAGGCACCCACAGTGGGGGGGGGAGACAGGCACCCACAATGGGGGGGGGAGACAGGCACCCACAATGGGGGGGGGAGACAGGCACCCACAGTGGGGGGGGGAGACAGGCACCCACAATGGGGGGGGGAGACAGGCACCCACAATGGGGGGGGGAGACAGGCACCCACAATGGGGGGGGGGGAGACAGGCACCCACAATGGGGGGGGGGGAGACAGGCACCCACAGTGGGGGCCCACGGTGGGGGAGACAGGAACCCAAACCTGCTTTCACACCCCCGCACCAGGAGAAAGGGTGAAATGTGACAGACGAGAACTCCACATGTCCACCAAGGGGCTCCCCTTCAGGAGGGTAATATCCATGGCAAGCAGTAGTGTAGGGGGTGTGGTGGAGGGCAAGCAGCGCCCCCGCCACCCCCACCCCAATGCCGGGCCCCCCCCATCAAACGCAATAAAGCTCCGTGGTTTCTCTTTGACAAGCCTGGGAACAGGTGTAGTGATTCGCTAACCCAAAATGTGACGACCTACAGACACGCTCGAGGCGTCGGCGAGGGAAGAGAGGCGAGGTGGTAGAAACATGCACTCGGGGATGTGATTTGAATCACGTTCCTACCTGGCGAATACTTTGAATCCATTTTTACAAGCGAAGCTGAAGAGCCAGGCGACGACATTTCCACAAATCCCGGGAAATTCCTGAAACTCTCCTTATCTCGGCCCGTAACAATTCGGCCCTCGACTTGCGTGGTGTCGCTCTCTTCCTCGAGCTTCACGGCATTTCCTACACAATTCCCATTGGTATTAGCAAGTTCATCGCGGATATTGGCTGCGTCATATTTGCCCTCCGTCGCGGCCGCCATAACACTGGCGCGGCCCCGGATGTGGCCTCCGCCGCCGCCCGCCAGACGGCACCACCGCGCGCCCCTACACTGCCCGCCCTCGCCACATATACAATTATATCTGTTTTTGTCCAATGAAATATTACGTTAATTCACAAATATACATTTTAATTGTTAAATGTTTTGATTTTAAGTAGGCTTGTGTATTTTTAAGGGTGTGAGTATGGTAGAGAGGGTAATATAAGGGATGTTAGGAGAGCGTGTGGTGATGGCGGGCATGTGTGAGTTCGTTAGCTGGGTGCGTCACCCCGCGCGGCGCCTCACACACTCCGATACGCCAACACACTCCATTACTATAATACTTGCCTCCCTCCACCGCCTCCACTACGCCAACACACTCCTTTACTATATGTCTCCCTCCCTCGCCCGCCTCCACTACGCCAACACACTCCATTACTGTATACCTCCCTCCCTCGGCAACCTCCACTATGACAATACATTCATTATAGTGTCATGGACTCATTCCTCTTAATGTTTGCTGATGATGCAAAAATTATGAGAAGAATCAAGACAGATGAAGATAGACAGTGACTACAGGACGACCTGGACGAACTGGTGAAATGTTCTAGTAAATAGCTATTAAAGTTCAACTCAGCAAAGTGTAAAGTAATAAAATTAGGCGAAGGAAGCAGAAGGCTGAACACAATGTACCATCTGAGAGGTGATATCCTGCAAGAGTCATATAGAGAGAAAGATCTGGGGGTTGATATCACACCGAACCTGTCCCCAGAAGCCCACAGCAAAATTATATCATCAGCGGCATATGCTAGACTGGCCAACATAAGAACCGCCTTTAGAAACTTGTGTAAGGAATCGTTCAAGACCTTGTATACCACTTATCTAAGACCAGTCCTGAAGTATGCAGCTCCAGCCTGGAGTCAATACCTAGTTAAACACAAACCAAAGTTAGAGAAGATTCAGAGGTATGCTACCAGACTAGTTCCGGAACTGAGAGGTATGATCTACGAGGAAAGGCTAAGGGAGCTGAACCTCACACCCCTAGAAAATAGAAGAGTAAGGGGAGATATGATAACCATCTACAAAATTCTCTGGGGAATTGATAGGGTGGACAAAGACGAACCCTTCAGTAAGGGTAGAACACGAACAATGGGACACAGGTAATGTATGGTAATGTACAGGAAGATGGTAATGTATCTATAGAAGAGACTTCTACATTACAACCCTCATTTGCAGACATACTTAGAAGGACCCCAGAAGTTGTCTCTGCAATACAGGAAATTGCCATGAAAGTTGCTACTTCTCAGGAAGCAGCAAGATGCACTAGCCGACTGATAGAGAGGAAAAGAGCAGTAGTCGTAGTAGGTATTAGGAAGGAAATAGGCGCCACTCCAGGGGTGAGGAGAGATATGGACAAAGCCACAGTCAAAGAGATCCTTGAAGGAGTTCAGATGGAGGGGGAAGAACTGAATATAGAAAAAGTTTTCAGGCTTGGCCGGTACAACAAGGACAAAGATTCAAAATTTAAAATTCAAATGTTTATTCAGGTGAAGTACATACATACAAGGTGTGATACAAACATTGATGGATTTATAGATAGAGCTATATATAGTACATACAATGCCTCAAGCCACTATGACGCAAAGCGTTTCAGGCAGATCGATTTATAAAAGTGGTTTTCAAAAGCAAGAACACAAAAGAGGAAATTTTAGCAAAGAAGAGCAGCCTACTCAATGTGCCGAAGTTCAAAAAGGTATTCCTGCAGAGGGATATGATCAGGGAGGAGAGACAGAGGACAGCAGCAGCAAGGAGAGGGAAAGGAATCAGGGAACTACAACCTAGAACCCTACGATCCCAGAAGGGAGTGGGGAACCCTCCACAGGCAATTCAACAGCCCCAGTGGGAGGAGGATCACACCCATCTCCCAACCAATAGAAGCCCTACCTGCCCCAGCCCCTACACTCCTCCACCACCCTAAGCCCTCCCCTTCTCCCTCTTCCCCTATCCCCTCCCTCCTCCCCCATCCCCTAAGCCTTCCCTTCTCCTCCCCCCCAAGCTCTCTTTCCTCCCCCTCTCCCCCAAGCCCTTCTTTCTCCCCCCCAAGCCCTCCTTTCTCCCCCACCCCCCAAGCCCTCCCTCCCCCCATCCCCCCCAAACCCCCTCTTCTCCCCATCCCCCCAAGCCCTCCCTTCTCCCTCACCTCTCCTCACTTTGCCCCTACCCTCTCCAAACCAGATCCTCCCAGCCCCCCACAACCCAGGTCCCCCTCACTCTCAGCTCTCCTCACAGCCCAGGGCCCCCCCCCCTTCCTCTTCCCATCCCAGACCCTCCATGCTTACTTACTCTAGTGGAAGCAACAGAAACTGTGGATGGACAGAAAAGAGTCAGCTTCAAGGTAATGTACATGAACATAGATAGGATTACAAGCAAGGTGAATGAATTTAGGGAAAGAGCACAAGAAGTATACCCAGATGTAATTGGAATCACGGAAACAAAACTCTCAGGAATAATAACAAATGCAGTATTCCCCCAGGATTGCACTGTAATAAGGAAAGAGAGGGAGGGTAGGGGAGGAGGCAGAGTGGCCCTACTCATGAGAAGGGAATGGAGTTTCAAGGAGATGGTTATCCCAGGCTGTGAAGGGCTTAGAGACTACATAACAGGCACCATGACGATGGGAGGACGTAGAGTAGTAGTAGGGGTGATATATAACCCTCCACCAAATGACAGAAGACCCAGGCAAGAGTATGACAGAAACAACATGGCAGTTAATAACATAATTGAGAGGGCAGCCTCTGCTGCCTGTAGAAATCGATCCCAACTGCTCATCATGCTGGGACTTCAATCACGGAAGGATAGACTGGGAGAACAAGGAACCGCACAGAGGAGAGGATACATGGAGAGCCAAACTAATGGAGGTGGCGACAAGAAACTTTCTAAGCCAACATGTCAGGGAACCCATTAGGATGAGGGGAAACGATGAACCAGCGAGACTCGACCTAGTCTTCACTCTGAATGACTCCGCCATAAGGGAAATTGACTTCGAGGCCCCAGTAGGAATGAGCGATCACAGTGTACAGACGTTTGAGTATCTGGTCGAAGAAGGGCTAAAGTACTCGAGAAAGGGAACTGAAAGCAAAAGGCTAGCATTCCGTAAGGGAAATTACGAGGAGATAAGAAAATTCCTAACGGATGTAACCTAGGAATCAGAGTTAAGGGGAAAGACGGCCCAAGACATGATAAAATACATCGCGCAGAAGTGCAAGGAGGCAGCAGAAAAGTTTATCCCGGCCCAAAAGGTAAAAACAGAAATGAAAATGAGAAACCCATGGTTTAATCAGAGATGTAAGCTAGCTAACAAAGTAAAAGAGCATGGAGAAACTATAGAAATAACAGGACACTTGAGAGCAGAGAAGGTTACCAGAGAGTCAGGAATGAATATGTCAGGGTAAGAAGAGAGGCAGAAGGGCAATATGAAAACGACATAGCAAGCAAGGCTAAGACCCCAACCCAAATTGCTGCACAACCACATCAGGAGAAAGACAACAGGTAATGAAACTGAGGATAGGGGCAGACAGATTCACTACAAATGCCAAAGAAGTGTGTGAGGAACTCAATATGAAATTCCAGGAAGTCTTCACATTAGAACAAGGAGAAATTCCAGAGATAAGCGAAGGAATAATTAACCAGGCACCACTAGAGGAATTTGAGATTACCAGTGCAGATGTAAGAAAGCTTTTGCTAGAGTTGGATGTGACAAAGACTATAGGTCCGGATGGAATATCACCATGGATACTAAAGGAAGGAGCAGAAGCACTGTGCCTGCCACTCTCCATGATGTATAACAAATCACTGGTAACAAGTAAACTGCCAGAAATTTAGAAGGCGGCAAACGTAGTCTCGATATACAAGAAGGGGGATAGACAGGAGGCACTGACCTACAGGCCAGTGTCCCTAACTTACATACCATGCAAGCTAATGGAGAAAATTGTGTGAAGAAAGCTAGTGGAACATCTGGAGCGAAGGAACTTTGTGTCACAACACCAACATGGTTTCAGGGATGGCAAATCATGCCTCACAGGATTAGTTGAATTCTACGATCAGGCAAGAAAGAGATGGGTGGGCAGACTGCATATTTTTGGATTGCCAGAAAGCCTTTGACACAGTGCCACACTAGAGACTAGTGCGAAAGCTGGAGATGTATGTTGGAGTGAAAGGGAAGGTACTCCATTGGATAACGGAGTACCTAAGTAACAGAAGGCAGCGAGTCACTGTGCGGGATGAGGAATCAGATTGGCGAGACGTCACCAGTGGGGTCCCGCAGGGTTCAGTCCTTGGACCCATACTGTTTCTTATATATGTAAATGATCTTCCAGATGGTATAGAATCATTCCTCTCATTGTTTGCTGATGATGCAAAAATTATGAGGAGGATTAAGACAGAGAAAGACAGTACGACTACAACATGACCTAGACAGATTGCATGAATGGTCCAACAAATGGCTACTAAAGTTCAACCCGAGTAAACGTAAGGTAATGAAACTAGGCAGTGGAAACAAGAGGCCAGACACAAGATACAGAATGGGAGATGAAGTCCTTCGTGAAACGGACAGAGAGAAAGATCTAGGAGTTGATATGGCACCAAACCTGTCTCATGAAGCCCACATCAAAAGAATAACATCTGCAGCATATGCGAGGCTGGCTAACATCAGAACTGCCTTCAGGAACCTGTGTAAGGAATAATTCAGAACCTTGTATACCACATATGTAAGACCAATCCTGGAGTATGCGGCCCCAGCATCGATCCCGTACCTTGTCAAGCACAAGGCGAAGCTTGAAAAAGTTCAGAGATATGCCACTAGGCTAGTCCCAGAACTAAGAGGCATGAGTTACGAAGAAAGGCTGCGAGAAGTGCACCTCACGACACTAAAAGACAGAAGAGTAAGGGAAAACATGATCACTACCTACAAAAATTCTCAGAGGAATTGACAGGGTAGATAAAGATAAACTGTTTAACACTGGGGGTACGCGAACAAG